ATGTACTTATGTATGCATGTGCGTATGTATGGATATATGTTTGTAAGTATGTATGTATGTATATATGCTTCTTTGTGTGTATGTGTGTATTATGTAGTATGGATGTATGTGCGTATGCATATACATTTATTGAATAAAAGGTATGTAAGAAAACCTATTCCTTACTAATGCCCTACTACGCGATTCTCATAAAATCAAGTAAGCCTCATATGCTTCACTTCAATTGGAGGAGGCGTCGACTTTAATATTGAAGGAGGCTTAAACAACGGAGGATACGGTGGCTTTAATATTGGAGGAGAAGGCAACTTCAACTATGGAGGAAACGGCAGCTTGAATAAAAGAGGAGGAGGCGGCTTCAATTATGGAGGAGGCGGCTTGAATAATGGAGAATACGGTGGCTTTAACTACAGAGGAGACGGTGAATTTTAATATTGGAGGAGACGGCAGCTGCAACTATGGAGGAAACGGCAGCTTGAGTAAAAGAAGAGGCGACGGCTTGAGCAATACTAAAGGCAGATTTAACTATGGAGGTGGCAGTGGCCATGAATTTTGGAAAAAATTTGGTACATAAACAAAAAACTATGTCTTAATTTATATTTCAAATAGAAATAATGCGACAAGATTCTTTCCAAAATCGGAATTCATATATGTGAAAAACTGCGTTCACGAACCGACGGGAAGCAGAACATTTTATTCAATATAATTCCGAGATCGCTTGTTTGAAAAATGGTTAGCACATGTCATGATCATTATCATGTATATTGGTTACTCGACAGTTTCACACGTATTTCAAGTCATGTCAAGTATTAAATAAGACACGTCATTTGTATCATTAAGCCATTATTTCCGCCAATTCCAGATAACTGGTCGTACATTGTTTCATTTGTCACTCGTCAAGAGCTGATGCTGGGCTCTTCTTTGGCGACACAAGACGCGCGTTATATGGCACATATAGCGCATATCAAGTGCCATTCAATGATTCTGGCACTATCATTCGTGAAATGACATCATGAAGCGACTCGTGGTCATGCATATTTAGCGCCAGATCGCATTCAATGACGGCGTCGCCATTAATCACAATCGCTGTCTGCGAGACGAAGCCGGGGTAAAAATAAAAACGAAACCTCAACGTCAATTGCAATTGGCTGCGAATGCTAGGCTAGAGCATTACCACCCACACATGTGTTTATAAAAAAACAACAACTTAATGAAGAAGACACTGGGGAGCACGATATAGTATGCACTGGCACGAGTGGGAATTTGTATATTAAAGCATTGGGTGACTGGAAGTTATGGATGCGTGGATAAGTCAATCACAATTATTGTGGGCTGGCCAGGCTGTTTATAGACGTTGGGAGCTTAACTAAATAGCTGATATAGAGAGCACTTTGTTTCGAAAATACATCATTTTTTTTTTTGGAATGCACAACACAGTTTAGCTGCTATTCAAAGTTCTCGTCCTTCTTGGCGCCGATATACAGCACCGACCAGGACTTGTCCGGCATGTCAATGTCCAGTTTTTTCGAGTTGACACTGCGACAGGGCAAGTTCACTTTTTATTTGCTTTCTTTTAATGAAATATTGCATTCACCTTGTCTCCGAATTAACCATACGATGACGCTGATGCAGTGGAATACAGGTCTGCTTGGGAGATGGCTTCAGTTCCAGGGACATTTCGCTGGTCAGGGAATTGATGACAGCGGCAGCGCCGGCCGCCTCAGAGCCCTCGCCTCCGCACTTTTCGACACCAAACTGTGAAGACATGATCTGGTAAACACACTAGCACTAGATACTAACCAAAAGTCTTTTAAGAATTTCTGTTTACAGTGCCCAAATATAGTTTTCTTAAAAATTTTTTTTTTCTTCAAAAAGACCGAAGAATGAAAGCAACTAAACTAAAATGATTTGAAGCTTTGAATTGTGTATTTTTTTTTGTTGTTGTTGTGAAATACTAAAGCACAGCCTGCCCGGCAAGCTTAGAAATAAAACAATTTACGAATGCCGGCTAATAAGATCCTAAACAAACTTGTTTGCATTCCAACAAACTGATATGCCTGCTGCCTAAAAGTATGCAACATTTTTTAGATGCTTTGGGAATTGAATCCAAACAGAATTGAAATCTGATTGGCAAGAGAATAAATCTGAATATAATGCCTAGATTGGCGATCTAGAAAGAAAATATATAAATTTTTATCTAGAGACTATCTGGCCTCAGAATATAGTCATTCCATTTTGGACTTAATGCCCGAAGATGGCGATCCTGCCGTGCTTCAAATCCATGCTCCAGTCAGAAACGGTCCAATATAAATCCCATTAAATGAATAAGTATAACAATTAAATAATTCCCTCCCACAATTTATTTTTAAAATTCACTTGATTAAAATTTATATCCAATCGTTACCAAAGTTAAAACTAATGAATCAACACCTGTACGGCCAAAAGGTGTTTGCCACCGTCGGTCATTCGGTCGACAAAATTGCCAGGCAGGGCCATGACACGATTGCTGTTATAGATGGTCTTTAGCTTTTGGGCCGAACGAATATTGTAGACCTCGTTGGTTTGCACCATCAGGTATTCGACAATGGGTCGGCTGCTAGTTGGCCAAACGGATATGGTGCCAACAATTTTGACATCGTCGGGTCGAATGCTGGTCAGCCAGATGAGAAAGATCTCGTGATCGGGGCCGCTGGGCCTTGCGTTGGAGCGCGGCTTGCCAGGATTGTTGGACGTAAAGAATTCGGGTGCCTGCAAGCGGGCGGTCATCACGAGCACCGGCAGCAGATCGGGATACTTTTCGGTGTTCTTGTCAATGAACTTGTCCTTGACAAAGTAGACCATATTGCATTTGGCTTTATTCAGCAGTGTGACGCGCGTATCCAAAAAGAAGGTCTTCGCCTTGCAGGGCGTAATGCGCTCCATGGCCAGCGAGGGATGTTCGTGTGTCAGATGATCGTTGAAGTCGGAGATGAAGAACATACGCCTGCAATCAGCATCGGGACAGAAAATGGGCGAGCGGCAGACTTTCAGCGGACGTGCCACATGCGGTTGCAAGACCTCCCGCTTGAGTGACAACAGACTGATTAGCTCATTGGGGCTGCACGGCAGTGTGGAGAACTGTGCCGGCGGTGGATCACGGCGATCCATCAGCTCTTTGGGCGTTAAATTGTGTAGCAACTGTTGTGGATCCTCGGGAAATCCACGGAATCTGGCCCGCTGCACCGTGGACACCAGCATGTGCAGCTTGCTCAGCAGACGCTTAGGCTTCAAGGTGCAAAGCTCGGACTTTTCACATGTAACCGACTGCACTCGTTCTTGATGCTTGCTGAACTCTGTCATCTCATCCACGCTGCCATCTGGATTAAGTTCGGTTTGCTTTTCGCTTTCTTCAAATTCCGTTTGACTCTCCAGTGGTGCGCTGGGCTGAAATAGCAGATTCTTCTCCATCTTGTCTCCGCTCGATTCGATTTTCTGCGAATTCTCCTGCAGCGTGTCTAACATGCTCTCCAGTTTCTCATCTAATGCATCACCGATGGTCTTCTCGTGGTCATTCTTTTCAACTTCCGGATCGTTAGATTGCTCGTTATTTGGATGTATTGGCCCAAACTGGGCACCGCCTCGTTGCCGTTCTATGCCAGCCTCATGGCTGGCTTTCGGTTTTCGTTCCATTTCTATGTCCCGCTGTCGCTTCAGCTCGACCAGCTCCGCTTTGACCCGGTTGCATTCATCCTCGACACGGTGACGTATGCGCTCCCATTCGCCGACCAGATTTTTCTTTTCCAGCAGCTTATTGTGTAGATAATCCTCGAACTCCTCCCTCTCCATTTTTTTCAAATCTCTAGCCACCTCCTCCACGGTCAGCCTCTTGGTCGCACCAATTGACCCTTTAAAGCTTCGCTTTTTGTCGTAATCCGGATGTTTTGGCAAACTGAAGTCCATGATGCGATCTCGCGCTGCCTTTAGTTCCTTTTTGGCACTGCTGGCCAGAAATTGATTTGTGCGCCGTTGCACCTCTTCCTGCCACGGATTCAGCAGCTCCATTTCCTGTAGCTTGCCCATGGGCAGCTTACTCTTAAAGCGTATAGGCGATCGTTCATCATCAGCATCATGGTCCTCCATCTGCTCCAGCAGGCTATTAAGAAGCCCATTTTCCTCTATCACGCGGCGATCTCCCAAGTGAACACGCCTATCCGGCTTCAGGCCCAATTTGGATATGTCCTTGGCCAGGCAGCTGCGTCGCTCGGCCTGCTGTTTGTCCAAGCGCGACTTGTGGAATGACTCATTTACCACCGATTTGGAGCGACGTTGATCAGTTGGTTGGACGCGACGACTGGGGCGGTCACGATCTTCGCTGTAGGACCTCAGCTTGCGCTCCCACAAGGAGCCGCGCGGCAGCTGGGATGGCAGGCCAGCCAACAGCTCCTGCCTCATTACCTTGCGTGCCTCGTGACGTAGGTCGCGTTTCGCCCTCCGATTCATGTCCTGGCCGTCTTTTTTGTCCTTAGACCTATTCGGCCTATTATCCTGGGAGCCCTTGGCTGTCGCCTCGAGCATATAGTTAGCCAGTTTTCTCTTTGGCTGCTGCTCTAGATACTGTGGCGACTCTTTGCCATCGTCGGACTTGAAAAAGAATCGGAGCGCTTCACATTTTGAGCACCAATCGGATATGCCCTCTATGTAGGCATCCTCGGCCTGATGTCGCCGGCTACGGAACTCAAAGTCCGGATTACTGCCCAGCTCAGACTTCTTCAAGCCGCACATAGTACACGTATACATTTTTGGAGAGGTTTAGTGGTAAAAACAGCTGGCCAAAATAAAAGTAGGTTTATGCAAAATCAAATTAAAAAAATATAAACTAATTTTTAAAATACGGAGAACCCCACCTAACTACTATTTTAATCAATCCAAATGAGAACTAAGGCGTAGAGCTTTAGATTTAAATGCATGAGATTTGAAATCAACGGCAAATGAAACAGCTTACAAAGTCGATTTACGTGTGTGTTCCATGAAGTACATATTATTTGCGATTTATATTAACAGGCGAGTCAATAGACATGTCCCTCCGTTCGTCTGTCCATCTGATCTCTCAATTGAAAGACTTTCGGCGCGACTCGGATCGGAAAACTATATCCCAATTGTCCGTGCTCGGCATATCATTTAAGCACTATAGGAACAATCGACTCGAAGATAAGTTTTAGTGCTAAAAGAATGCTCATTCTGCGAATTTATTTTTTAATAGACCTTAGAATAGCGACTGATCATTCCTATTGGAGCTATATGTTTCAGCAAACCGATTTTTGGAAATAGGGTATATACCAGTTTACTCCACAAACCATTTGATATTTGCTTGCAAGAGTATTTTATCGGCAAGCCGAAGACAAGTCTTTCCGTTTGATATTTTCTTTCAATTTTGCAGTCAATTATGGTTTATCACATGTTGAATTGTTGCTTGCGATAATGTTTACTTAACAAATATAAACATATGCAGATTAGCCTCTCTTTATAAGCCCATTCACCTGCGTGGCCCACGAACCAAGCGTACACTCAGACGTCACTTGTGGCCCACGTGCTGACCGTGAAATTCACAGCTGCACCAAGGCAAAGACAGTGCCAAACCAATGAGAAGAAATAATAAGAGTGAAAGAGAGAGATACCTCAAGGCAATATTTGAACCAGGCATGGCCCAATGCTCCAGTTGTCATGCCGCAGGCCCGAAGAGCTCGAGAGCCATTGAAATTGTCAAACGCCGCCCGTGAAAAGGCTGCGCCAACCAAAAAATCGGCTTAGCCGCGTCCAATTGAATTTCGGATCGGTTCACTTGTTGCTCTGGTCAGTTTTTTACATTTATATATATTTTTTTCATTATTGACTTTGGCCAGTGATTCAGCAACGTTTGAATGTTGGTTGATAAGATGCGCAAAAGTAAGATAAATAACGGAACACGGCATCAGGCCAAGCCAAATATTGAAGCACTCACACCGTCGAAGGTCTAGCCAGAGATCGTATAAATACTCCGAGTGCCATCTGGTCAGCTATCAAACGCTTCGCAGTCAAACAACAGACAACATGGTGAGTGAACGGGCCAACAGAAGTGCCCCCCAAAGGTGCCCGCCAGTTAATGGACTTATTCACGCAGAGAATCAGCTTCGTCGCACTTGCCGCTTGCGCCTGCTTGGCTCTGGCCGCTGCGGATGTCTCGCATCTGTCCAGCAGCTACTTGCCGCCACCCAAGCCGGAACAGGTCGAGCACATGACCATTGAGCAGCACGAGCTGCGCGAACTGCCCGAGCAGGTGGACTATATGCGCGAGAATGAGCAGGGCGCCATGGAGATTTCGCCCAGCAGCCAGCTGACGCCACCAGCTATGCCACAACAGGAACAAATGCCGTCCATGCGCTACCTGCCGCCAGCTCAGCCCACCATGCCCACCGTGCCCACCATGCCCGCCATGCCAGCCACGCGCTATTTGCCTCCAGCTCAGCCTATTCAACGCGCTCAAGCCCAGCCCGAGTCCGAGCCAATGATGCAGCCCGAAATGATGCCACAGCCAGCCATGGAGTACACAGCCCCGGCTCAGCCTCAGCCCCAGGCGCAGCCGCAAGCTGCACCCGCCATGCGTTACCTGCCGCCCGCACAGCAGGCCGACCAGCCGCAGTACATCTATGAGCAATATCAGGAACAGGATCAACAGATGCCCTACATACTGGACGTGCAGCAGCCCATGGCCCCATCCGATGCCGAGACTCTGGCCTACGAGCCAGAGCCAGCTCACGAGCTGCGCCAGGATGGCTATCATTACAAACAGGCCGCCCAGGAGCAGCGTCTGAGGCATTAGACGCCCGAATCCCCAGCTGACTTCATCCCAATCAGTCATCAGATTGTTATTAAATGTTTACTTAGTGCTTAAAGCTTGTTTTGTGATTGTTCAGTTTATTGTAAAACAATTTTATAAACTTTACTTAACATAGTATCTTACTTCTCTATTGATCTCCGTCGCCGAGAAAGCGCTGTTCCTCCTCGGCTCCAAGGGAGGCCTCCTCACGCAACATCGCCACCCGGTGGATGCTAAATTTAATATTCTCGTTGGGCATATTCAGGGTGACGACGATGCAGTAATGCAACACATGTAAATGGCGTGTGCGGAGCAGGTACGAGCCGCCCTTCTGCTTGGTAAACACGGGATAACCCTTCTCCTGGCAATCGTACATGAAGTAACCTCCTTTCTCGCCCAAGCAAAGTCCAATCGCCAAAGCACGCTTGTGCACTTTCAGAATGCCGAATTGGTGGTGGCTGAAGAAGTCGTTGAGCGCTTCGCAGAGATTCATATGATTACGTGTGGGATAACGATAGAGCTGTCCACAGCAGACTTGGTCGATGTAGACGACAAACTTGAGGGATTCCAGGGCGCAGTCCATGCTCAGGTTCCGTAACGCGTTACCTTTGCCCTTTCCCTTTGAGATGCTCTCTTCGAAGTACTTGGTGCCATTCGCAACAATCTTGTCCAGAAGTAGGCCGCTCCACTCTGTCAAATTGAACACGCTGGCCGTACAACAGGCGACCACATAGATGGCCAGATATTGACGACCACGCAATCTCCTCTCGAAGACGGGGGCCTCAGGGTGAAGATTGCCCCACAGTGACCACAGGCGATCCTCAATCTCGACATCGTACTTGTTGAATTTGCTCAGCGGATTGTCCCGATAATTTCCCGTCGTGTTCCGTTGGTACCTGCGGCTCCACACGGGCAGGCTGTTCTCCAGGTCCAGCCAGCGTATTGACTCATTTTTCTTGTAGGCCATTGGAAGCGACACACCCGATGCGAGCTGTGGAATACTAGCAATTTCAGCTGATTCTTCCTTGGTCACAACTATGGGAGTACTTACCTGGTAGAGAACAGCCTCAGAGAAGATATACCGATTATTCTGAAGATTTTGAAAGTCCCATGATAAAAACTATTTTGAAACATATATGACAAATTTTGATTTTGAAAAGGAAGTACTTAAATCAACAAAAAAGTGATCCAATCTATAATGCCAGAGTAAGAAATGCCAGGATATTTGAAATGCAGCTTAATTACGAGGTTTATGATATATCAACCTTACATTATACAAAATTCCTTCTCATATAACTTCTTCGAGTTCTTTTTTTTTTAATTTGTGGGAGACTGAGTTCTTGGATATCTATAAATATTGATTATAATAATTTAAATTTGTTGGGCGGAGAGAAGTGGGAGATTTTTACAAAAGATTAGCATAGTCCTTGAGAACCATCGTTAAGAATTACGTCTTTAAGTCCTCTAGTCCTTAGGGTTTAAGCATCTCTATGGCTCAAAAGACAGATAAACCTAACCAGATCGACTCAGATCAAGACTCCTGATCAAGAATCTATTTAGTAAAATCTCAAATGCCTCCCTGTAACATACACCTGTGTGGATGGCGGGTACAGAATACCTCCACAGCATGTCACCGCTTGTCGTAAGAGGCGACTAATAGAGACACAAGGGACTATTAGTCCAGGGCTACTATCACCCATGTGCTTGGCTATGTCTAAGGCACCATAAGTGCGGTTTTGAACAAGTTTTTAGAAGAAAACAATCGGCCAAGCTTTCGGGTTGACTCAGTTTATTTGAAGACCGCTTCGTACAGTTGCGCATTAAATAGTTACTAAAACACATAACCAAATACACTTGAAGACCGCTATTGCTACACTGCTCTACTGATCAGGACTGCCTGCAGCGCCCTCCTCTTCCTCGTTCTCAACGGTGGCGCCTTCACGCAACATTTCCACCTTGTGGATGCTAAAGCCAACGTTATGTTTGGGCACATTCAGTGTGACCACGATGCAGTAGAGCAACACTTGCAGATGTCGGGTGCGGAGTAGGTACGAGGCGCCTTGCTGTTTGGGGAAAAGCGGCTGATCCTTCTCCTGGCAATCGTACATGAAGTAGCCCCCGGCTTGGCCCGGACAGAAGCCAATGGCCAATGCACGCTTACGAACCATCACAATGCCGAATCGGTAATGGCTGAAGAAGTAGATCAACGCCTCGGAGAGATTCATGCGGTTGAAGGTGGGCACGCGATAGAGCTTGCCATAGCAGACGTGCTCGATATGAACCACAAAGTTGATTGTTTCTAGGGCGCAGTCAATGTTGAGGTTCTCCAAAGAGAACTCGTAGTCCTTCTGAGAAATTTGAGCTATGCTCTCTTCAAAGTATTTGCTGCCACTCACAACAATTGTGTCCAGCAGTTGGGCGCTCCAGTCCATGAGGTTGTATACACTGGCAGCACAACAGGCAATCACGTAGATGGCGAGATATTGACGTCCACGCAAACTCCTGTGAAACACGGGGGCCTCAGGGTGAAGATATCCCCACAATGACCACAGGCGACCCTCTATCTCCACGTCGTATTTGTTGAGTTTGCTCAGCGGCAGATTGCGATACTTTCCAGCTGTGTTGCGTCGGTACCTGCGGCTCCACACGGGCAGACACCTTTCCAGCTCTACCCAGCGCATTGCCTCATTTCGCGCCATTGGATCCTATCTACCCGACAGCAACTGTAGAATGCCCGCATTAGATGCTGGCTTCTTAATTGATCGAATCTCTTATACTTACCAGGAGGTGGACAGGCTCAGAAAGGATTTCGAGATAAATTTGAATGTACCAAAATCTGAAAGAAAAGTGAGTGCCCGAATCGATAATATTTGCCGACTTGGAGATAACTTGTGCCCAGCTCCACAGCACATGTTCGTTTGAAGTATTCGTTAACTGATTAGTGCTTGGGCCCTTTTTTGCGGAGTTTTCCAAATGATGTTTTAATGCTTCGTGAATTGTATATAAGAACCTATACACCGAACTTTGTTTTTGAATCGTAGTCTCCAAAATCAACGGTTAGTATAGACACAGGCAGACAGATGAACATGGGCTGATGATATAACAAGTCGTCATGAACGAGAATATATATTAACGCAATACTTGACGGGATAACCGACATAACCGTGTGGGCGGAGGGCATTAGAATACCTCTTGTCGTACTAGGCGACTAAAAGAGATAAATGAGGCAGGCAACCCTTATGCGAATATCGTAATATTTCCGGTTTCGCGATGGTCTTAGCCTCTACCAATTGGATTTTTGTAGTACTAAACCGGAACATTCCATGTTTAACAAAGATATGAGATGCTACAATCCTGATATAAGTTTTCCTAAGGAAGCGTAGGATACGTTTCTGACTTATTGGCCATGTTGTGTGGTTATTCTGTTTATTATTAAGCCGTTTCATAAAACCCAGTATCAAATATTTACTAAAACACAGGACCTCATCATTATGTACACCAGCAAACCGCTGTTGCTCCTATTCACCCTCACCGCCCTCCTCCTCCTCGTTCTCAACGGTGGCACCCTCGCGCAACATCTCCACCTTGTGGATGCTAAAGTCAATGTTGTAGAAGGGCACATTGAGGGTGACCACGATGCAGTAGAGCAACACTTGCAGATGTCGGGTGCGCAGTAGGTACGAGGCGCCCTGCTGTTTGGGGAAAAGCGGCTGATCCTTCTCCTGGCAATCGTACATAAAGTAACCCCCGTCGTGGCCCGGACAGAAGCCAATGGCCAGCGCACGCTTGCGAACCATCACAATGCCGAATTGGTAGTGGCTGAAGAAGTAGATCAACGCCTCGGAGAGATTCATGCGGTTGAAGGTGGGCACGCGATAGAGCTTGCCATAGCAGACGTGCTCGATATGAACCACAAAGTTGATTGTTTCTAGAGAGCAGTCAATGTTGAGGTTCTCCAAGGAGAACTCGTAGTCCTCCTGCGTTATTTGAGCTATGCTCTCCTGGAAGTATTTGCTGCCACTGACGACAACTGTGTCCAGCAGCTGGGCGCTCCAGTCCATGAGGTTGTATACACTGGCAGCACAACAGGCTACCACGTAGATGGCGAGATATTGACGTCCACGCAATTGGTCCTCGAAGACGGGGGCCTCAGGATGAAGATTGCCCCACAATGACCATAGACGACCTTCAATCTCCACGTCGTACTTCTTGAGCTTGCTCAGCGGCAGATTGCGATACTTTCCAGCTGTGTTGCGTCGGTTCATGCGGCTCCACACGGGCAGGCAGTTCTCCAGCTCCAGCCAGCCCAGGGACTCATTGGTGGCGCAAATCTCATACTCTGGCCGTCCGTACTGGCGATTGGAGCAAGTCATGGGTATGGATAGATCGGTCAGCAACTGCAGGATACGTGCGTTGGGCGCTGCCTTCTTGTATGATAGCACATCTACCACATAGAACATGTACTGGCTCTGCTCCTTCCAGTCCGGCTGGGAACAGCGCTTATCAATATACTTGAGCATGCTGTCCACATCGGCAAATAGCACCCAGGACGCAGTGTTGCGCTCTGGATAGCGCTTGGGTCCCTTTGGGCACTTCTTTTTCTTTTTCTTGCCATCGCCCTCTTCTTCGGCATCGCCATTATCCGCCGCCTCCTCCTCCTCCTCCTCCTCGCCTGGCTTGTCCATGCTTGCATATGGATCGAATAGATGATAGAACTCATCGTGGTACAAGGCAAAGCAACCATTCGGCGTAAAGATCATCAAATACTTGCGCGTATTGAGCACCTTCTGCATCTTCTTCTTGATTGTGGTCAGCGCAGCTTGCGCGGAAACTGTGGCCGGCTTCGGTGCCGGCGTCCACATGCCCATCGGCTCCAATATGCGTATCCAGATGTCGAACTCGTACTCATCGATCGTCACATGCCGCACCACACGCTCGAACACGGACTCCAGATCGCAGACACGCGTCGCAATCGACTTGGCATGGGTGATCACCCGGTCAACGCGATACGAGTTCCAGCGATTGAGCGGGCGCAGCGAGACGCTGAGTATGGCCAGAGCACTGGCAAAGTAGCAGGGCTTGATCTCCTTGAAGCTGCCATCTTCGCGGCCTTCCATGTTCATGCTGCCTTGGATCTTAAAGTTGCAGTCCTTCTCGCGCATGCGATAGCCGTATAGAATGGGGCGTGGCTTGTACGCTTTGTGTATCTCCTTGGGCAGACGCTTGCCGGGCTTGTGCTTCAGCTCAACCTCCTCTTCGCCCTCGGCCTCCTCCTCCATATCCATAAAGTCCATCTCCTCCTCGCCCTCGCCCATGCCCTCGTCAATGCCCAGGTCCTTGTACTCCGCTGTGTAAAGTGTGAGAGTTGTGATTTGTGTTGTGTTGGAATTCTGACAAAAGAAGCAAAAGCCACTTACGTTTCCTGCCATGTTTACGATCCTCGTGATCCCGCTTGGCCGCCAGATAGTCCTGGATGCGCTGGTTCTCCTTCTTCAGCTCCTCGTCAATGAAGCGCATCTTCTCTAGACGCTGCTCGCGCAGCTTCTTTTTGCGCATTGACTCCGCATTGAACTCTGCATCGTCGTCCTCCTTGGGCCAACGACGGAAACGGCCCTTGATATTGTTATCCACAATCTTTATGGCGGCCACAATATAATTCATGACCGTACAGCCATGAGGATTGCAGCCGAACTCAATGCGACGTATCAGCGAGTCTAGCTCAATGAAGCGCATCATGCAGGCCGGTCCTGGGCCGCCCTTGCGATACCCGATCGCATTGCAGGGGAAGCCAATGAACATGTACAGCAAATTGTAGCGCTTGAATATGACGCAGGAGAAATGCTGACAGACGACCAGGACACGATTGTTGTCGATGAGCAGCTCGAGCAGATCCTGGCGCAGCGATGATGATACCGAGGACTTGTAGACCTCGGACACCACCAGCGAGAAGCTGCTCTCGCCAACGGCTATGTCTGGAAGCTTCTTGTTCAGCAAGCAGGACAGGATTAGCTCGTAGTTTTGATAGTCATCGCCGAATTTGTTGACCGAATAGATGCAGAACTCAACAAGATCTGCATTCCAAGTGGATACCCTGTACTTGGCGGAGACTGCCGTGGCCACAAGCGCGGCCAGCACTCCGCCCAGTTTGGTCATTTCCGGATCCAATTGGGGCAGCTTTGTGGTGCCCATAATGATGTAGGCACCATCGTGCAATGTCTGGTAATTGGACTTGAGCTCTAGCTCCTCCTCGATGGTTAGCACACGCTTCAGGTCGGGCTTTTCCTCCTCCTCGCCCAGCTCGTAGCCGCGCTTTATCTTCAGACGCAGCGCGCGGAGATTTTCCTTGTCGGTGGCCAGGAGCACCTTCTGCGCTTGCCTGTACAGATGGGGGCGATCGAGTTTCGCCTCAGGCAGATCCTTAATAATGCCATTGATAATACCGAGGATAAGCTCCTCTACAAATTCCTTCTCATCTTTCGCTGGAATGCGCTCCTCCTCGGGTATGCTCTCAATGCTCTTCTTCTGGGCCAGCTCCGCCTCCGCCGGCTCGTCTGTAAATGTGGGCAGCCCCATCTGCAAGGCGGGAAACTTGTTCGACTGCTGCGTCATCACCTGCAACGGGCGAATGCAGCCCGTGCGAATGCCATGAATAAAGAATTTGCCGCCGCGACGCATCTTCAGCGCATTCTGGTACAGAATCCGCACAAAGGAATCAAACGTGGTATGCATTTGCAATACGGCCAGACCCTTGATCCGATAATCATCAGGATCGACCACCATGCCGACGCGATTGCGTCGAAACGGATCGAACACATAGAAGAACTCGCGATCCCGCCAAATGGCCATCACGGAATTGTCAATCTGCAGCAAGGCAGCCGGCCACTCGGGCTTCTCGAAGAGGGCCTGCAGCGCATGGGTCAGCTGTGATTCCAGATACGATTTGCAGTCGGTCACATGGCCGGTTATCAGGAAGGGATACTTGCGCACCGTTGCCTTGAAGGCGCCCATCAGGAACATCTCCGGCAAATCGACGACATTCAATTCGGGTTTCTTATTCTTCCAGCGTTTGCCATCGAGACGAAACTTTTTGCGCAGCGTCTTATAGTAGGCCACGCCATAACGGATGATATCATCAATGGTCATGGGCCGCCACAGCTTGGCCAGCTCGAATTCCGAGTAGATCAACGCTATGAGCGACACGACCAGCGAGGCGTTCTTTTCCGTGCCGGAAATGGGCTGTTGTATGCCGCTGTTGCCGCCAGTTTTTACCGCGAAATGCTCATTAACCACGGCCCACAGTTTGTGGTAGTGATATTGCTTGTCCTTTCTAATGGGCGCCTCCTTGAGCTTGCCATACTGTGTCAGTGATATTTCATAGATATTGAACTCATCGTTGTCGGTCAGGTCACTGAACTTGGTTATTAAATGCACCAAGTGCTCCATAAAGCGTGTGGCCATCAAGGAGCACATGCCATCCTTGAAGTCCCGCTGGCACAGCTCGTTGCGTCCATTGGGATCGAAGATGAAGTAGGAATCGATGCAGCGTTTCCAGATCAACAGGAACATATCACGCGAGGTAAAGATGCAGGCATTATATTTGGAAAAGAACAGCGACAGAGCCTTATAAATATTGGGCTCATTCTTGAACTGGCCCGTAAAGTGTATCTTGATCTTAACAGCCGCCTGACGTTCCATCACCTGCGGCAATATGTCAAAATCATTATCCTCCGACTTGTAATTGAGGTTAATGCTCTTCTTTGTTAGCTTTACGCCACGTTTCAATATGCCGTCCATGGTGCCGGCAGTCCAGAAATCCGGATTCACCTGATATGTCTCCACAAAGGCAACTATAATAGCAGCTATTTCGCTGGGTCGATAATAGAATCTGCAATAGAAATATGCGTTAGTCCTGTTACGGATTTTCCAAGCCTTACAGCAGCTCACCTCTGGCGAAATGCTTCCATCTTTGGTTCAGGATAAATGTTACGATTACCGAACACGATTTCGGCCGTAAACGTTTTCTCCAGCTGTGTGGGTATATTAAAGACGGTGAGTCCGCCGTCGTGAGCTGTTTTTGGATAGGCCTGAATAATATTAGCTGATATGCTCGGGGGCAAATGTCAAGAAGTCAATGGAAACAAACCATAGCTGGGCAGCGCAGCAGTTATAAAATCCTGATCCATTTCAATTTCACGCCTTTGCAGGCCCATATTCCAGGTCCATAAATCTTGTGGACTGCAACCTTCGATAATATCATAGGATCTCAGATTTTCGCCCTCCAATCCCTCTTGTATGATACGTGGATCATACGTTGGGAATGGCAACTCTTCCAGAGGGCCAACTTGTGTCTCGTTTAAATAAATGCGACTCTTAGGACGTTTCAATTCGAGCTGAGGGCCAGAAATAAATTATAAAAGTATATACATAGATGGAGAGTAAAGAACATTTATATATATTATTTTTATTGACTTTCACATATTTCTTAAAATATCAAATCTTTGTGCTTTAATTTAAGTATCTTATCATTTATATACGTTTAAGAACGGATGGGCTTGTCTTGGCAACAGGAATTTCTTTGCTTAGTTCTCTAAATTTAATAACTAATCGAGATAAGTTGTTTGTGGTATTACGCATATGCCACGTAGGCTGTGCCTCGCCTGTAGTTTGCCCCCGTCGCTGCATAAAAAAGAACTTCGCATAAAAACTAAAGCGAAGCCATACAAAACGAACTTGGCGGCAGCTTTATGCATAGCCCTACAAATCAGTCCATATGGTTAGTTAGTTATCGCAAATGGGTTGTGGTTTTATATGTCCGAGAGAGTCTTTCCTGCGTTGGTTTATAAGCTTTTTACTTTTGCCTGGCCCAAACGCACACATTTATGTGCAAGTTAATGCGACATTTCAAGTTGCAAAGCTGAAAATAGCACGCATACGCCACGGATGCCGGCATAAACGCGCCTATAAATACTATGCATACATACAATGTATGTATGTATATCTATATGTATACGTATGTGTAGCATACGTAAATAGAGCTAAATATGGAGGCCAAGCCCAGAGCCAATCCATGCCGCACTCAACGCTATTGCTGCTGCTGACTATGAAGTTAGTAAGCGGCATAAAGTAAGCACGAAATGCCAACTATACTGGCTAACTATACAGTCGACTGTCTGCTGGTGTGTGAATGTGGTATATCAGTCTGTGTGTGTGCGAGTGTGTGTGTGTGTGTGTGAGACTGCCTCTATGGCTGGCTGGCCACGCTGACGGCCACAAAACAGCGCATAGAGCAGTAAACAGCGAACAGCGCTTAGTGCCACATCACGAATCTTATCGCAAGCGCACGAATGCCAGAAACAGCAGCAACAGCAACAGCAACAGCAGCAGCAACAACAAGAACAACAACAACAATACGAACACCACAACTAAAAGCCAAAACCCGACAAACTCGAGCCGAGCGTAGGTCGGGCTGGCTGCAGAACAAACAAGTCATCTAACAAAAATACGAAAGAGTATTCAACAGAAGAAAAAAAAAACGTAAAACAGCAGCAGCAGCAGCAACTAGCACTGGAATTGCCAGCTATATAGTCAAGCGAGCGAGCACTTATAGCATACGACGACGTCAATAAACACGAGTGCGACGTTGTGCGCTACTAATACCAGCAACAACAGCAACAACAACCCTCTCAACTTTAAATGCGGCTGACGCGAGTGGCTGGCAAAATGTCAAACCAGGTACGTGTGGGCATGACGCAAGGGCCAGCAGAGCAGAGTAGGCAGGCAGGCAGACAGCAGGCAGGCAGGCAGGAGACGGCAGCACTGCAGGTGTTGCTATTTGCATTTTATTTACTAATCGTGAGCGCGCCTGCGGCTGACTGCACTTTAAAATCCCTCTTAAATAAATCAATTAAAATGCATAAAATCAATAAAAACGCGAGCAGAACTCTAGGCACAACTCAGTTATAGAATAAGAGTCAAAACACGTGGCATGCAAATGCCAAAAAGAGGCACACATACATACATGAATGCATCAGTGGGGCAGCCAACTGCATGTGTGCGAGAGAGAAAGGGAGGGGTGTGTGAGTGTGTCCATATTTGCCAGCTGTAGCCTGTTTTCAAGTTCAGCAAGGAGCCAGAGGCGGCCACGTCAGCACAGTCGCAATTGAATATCATATATGTATAAGTATGTTTGCGTTTGCTGTTTCTGAATGTGTGTGTGTGTATGTGAAGTATATGCACATGCCATTAAGATGCTGAAGTTGCATAAAAGCCAAACCAAACACAAAAGAAGCCCATAGCATGCAATAAAGACTTGAGGCCAGGTGTGTGCCGTTGCCGCTGGGTTGTCAGTTTTTTATTTTATTTTTTTTTTTGTGAGCTACCAACAAACTTGGTAGCGAGCGGCCATAACAACGCACACAGAGCCAATCATGCACACACACACACACACACACACACACACACCCAAACAGACGCGCAAGCAAAGAAACGTCGCGACGTCATAGCAAAGCGCAATAAGAAAGAGCAATGGCAGCTGCAGTGGCGTAGCCTATTTAGAGCAAAAGGGACGCAGGAGATGCCAAGGCCGTTAGGGAAACAGTGTAAAAGGGAAAGAAAATAATATAAGGAAAAATATGACAATTGTTATAAACTCATTTTATCAGTCACATGTTTGTAAACTAATCTGCAGCAAGGATCTTTAAAGAAAAATAATCTTAATACTCGTTGTTTATGTTTTACAAATTTATCTGCACTAACAGCCAGAGGAGAGGCATTGATAAGGGGCGCGTTTAATATACGCCCCATAAAACATTAAAAAAAAGTTTTATCAATATCAATACAATAATTGTGTGCTCTAACTGTAACCGCATAGTGTACAATACTGAAGAGCTCGCACATACTAGTGTTGGATCACATGTCTGCATTTACTGTTTGGCTGTGCGTTATCTGTTAATGCCGCTTAGAAACAACAACATTTAACATTTCTAGCGTTTTAAAATCAACTAACAATTTGCCTTAAACCAAAAATTTTAATCGGATATCCATTAAAACTTCATATCTAATTATACATCGTATTAAATATTCGGTATTAAATGACTGCCTACGCCCCTGACAATTGAAACATAACAAATAAAGCGCTTAAAAGGAAATCAAGAACGAAACATGTAACTAACAATAACAGCACAACTGAAACGAAAATTAAGCGGCAGCTACGCCGGCAGCGGCGGCAGCGTCAACACCACTTGGCTTTTGCATAGAAACGAATGCAATGCGCAGCAGCAGCAACTGCAAGCATTAGTGTGTGTGTGTGTATGTATATAAATATACACACATACATATATAGCTGCTGCCGCGTGCTCTTCGTTTCAACGTCCGCACGCAGAACTAGTTACTTAACTAGCATGTTCAAAAGAATACTTTTCAATAGTCCTAGCAAATCGTTCAATGCATCATTAAAAAAAGTTATAAAACCGCTATCCTTTTCTAACATATGCAACCATCAATTTGCGCTGCATTAACTCACTTCGGTTGCTACAACAATAATGCGCTTATAAATACAAATACAAGCACACACACACACACACACACACACAACAGTAAAGCGACTGGCGGCTGCCTGTGCATAGCGAACCGTTTTTATTTCATATGGAAGCAAACGGCCACAGCAACGGGCAGCAGTAACAACAACAGCAACGAACATACGGCAAACACCTGAAACCGAAAAACAGTGCACAAGTGTTACTCAGCGGCCAAGCACGCGTGTAAAAATGTCGCCCCGGCAGTAGCAGCAGCAACAAAAACAAAAGCAGCCGTAGAAGCGGCACACAAAACCAATTGAAACTGAAAGCGAGCACACACAATAAACAAAGCAGAAAAGTTAAAAACCAAAGTAATAGCAAACATTTAGGCTTATATTGCAATGAAAACTAAATGAAAATGGCATTAACATTTATTATTGCAAACGCTCTTTCTATGTATTTACGCAGCATTAAAAGGAGTCTCAATAAGAAGAGCACACAAAACGTGCACGTGAAGAGAGCGCCAATACACGCTCTCTCTGAGAGAAAACAAAAACAACCGCGCAATTGACTTTTTAGCAGCTTGAGCTTTCATTTTGAGGACGCTGCGCAGCTGTGGTTAACGAAGAGCAGGCAAAGAGGAAACGCGAACTATAGCAACTGCATATGGCGAGCAGCTCAGCAGCCATGGACACAACTACAGCAACAACTACAAAAAGAGGCAACAACAAGAACAAAGGGGTAAGTCAGAATGTCTCGCGTTGTATTAACTTGGCCTTTAAGCTGTGCGAGGGTTGATTTGTTGTGCGTTTTTGCTTATGGCACCACACACGCGCGTACGTAAGGCAAACAATTGCAGGCAGAGGCGTAGTCAGCAATTTTTTAAGAAGGGAGTTGTTGAGGGCAAATGTAAAGTAACTCGCATTACTTGGAACTTACTGGATGACAAATATAAAATATTAGCAATTATTTAAAAAGGAATAATATGGGACAAGTATAGAACTAATATGGGATTAAAGAGAAGCCTTTTAAAGCACAGCACAAGAAGTCCCCCTTAAGACCGTGGCTAAGCCACTGAACTTTTACCTTTTGTTTTCATCATTTTCTTGTAATTTGACAAGGCGTAACTTTTTATAGTGGAACTAAACTCCGCCCTTTCAAGGTGAATTCTCTAATGCATTCCAATCTTTTCTGCTAGGGCAAGGAAAAATCGCGTCGCAACGAGCGCAACATTTTGACTTTCTATGAGAAAATTGCGGTTATACGTTATTACGATGAAACGAACATTTCCCGCAACAGCCTGGCAAAGATGTTCCATTGCTGTGCAACCCAAATACGGCGCATTCTGGAGAAGAAACGTGAGCTACTGCAGCAGCTGGCGACACTGAGCGAGGCGGATGCCTCCATCATTATAGAGGAGATGACGCGCAAGCGCCGCAAGTTCGAGATGAGCGCCATCAGTTTTCTACTGCACGAGTGGGTGGAGCGCTGTCGCCAGCTGCGCCTCGGCGTGAGCATAACGAACCACACGCTGAAGGAGACGGCACTCAAGATGGCAGCGGTGCTCAAATTGCCAGCCTTTAGACCATCCTATCGTTGGCTAAATCGCTTTCGCAGCAAATACAAGTACGAGGAGGATGAACTGGGCTACACGGGCTCTTGCCCGGTGGCGAGTGTACTCCCCCTGGAACAGATTATAGTGGAGTTTAAGCAGGCGCTGCCCAATTTCATGCAAAAGGAACTCGCCGATATCGACATGGATGGAAAGATGGGTGTAATAACTCCTGAGTTGGTCAACTTGTCGAGCGAGAACAGCGAAATCTCCGATGGGGAGGACCTAGACGATGATGGTATCGAAATGGTGACCTGTGAGCCCAGTGTGCTGCCTTCGCCGGCCAGCACATCGGATGGCGAGGACGAGCCGCCAATGCCACAACTGTCGCAACAGCTGGACGGGGATGCCTCGATTAATATGATCATGAATGCCGGAACCTGCACGCTGCTGGGCAGCGTCTTTCCCCACTTGGCCATTATACACCAATTCGCACTGATGAACTCCGATGTGCAGGCATTGGAGCTGATCTCACAGCTGGGCGTGCACATGCAGCAGCAAGCAACAACTGGCGCCTATCACGTCCTATCGCTGCCTACAAATGGCGAAGCGCCGGCTTTGCCAGCCCCAGAGCTGCCGCCGGGCAGCATTTATGCAGACATAGATGATATCGAGTTGATTGAATAGAATTTACCTTAACTAATGCTTAGCCGTAGCTCGTAAAATAAAGTCAAATAGCACTTACCATGCGCTTGTCAGGTATGATTATCATGTCGGAACTACACTCTGGAGTGGCCAGCTGTGGCTTGACTTCGCTCTCTTCTTCGCCCTCCCCGTCCTCCTCCTCTTCTTCCTCTTCGTTTAAGTTCATGGGACTGTTGAGCGCGACCAGATCTTTGGGACATATCCTATCCAGTCTCGCATCGTGCTCCACCAGTCCAGGGTCGGCCTTGGCCATCAGAACACGTTCACGCAGTTCGGCGTTGGACCTTAATTCTCCTGGTGTTCGTTGCGGTATTATACACATGGTGAACTCATCGTAAAGTTCACATGTTTTCTTGTATGGGCGTGCGAACCTGGATTCTTCGGCCTTCTGGTGCAAGCGGCGCAGCTCATCCTCAATGGTTAGCACATGGGAAATGGTAGAGTTTGGCGGCTTTTTCAGGCATACACGTTCACGCGGCGCACAATTCTCGACCTTCCATTCTGTTGTGACATTATCACCCATATAGGTGCGCACAGCGTACGGATTCACCGAAGGACTTTCGTCCGCATTAACCTCGACAAATTTTTTAAGCATTTTTGCTAATTACGTACTATTAATTTGGCAAAAAAGAAAATTTAAGTTATGAACTACAAATTTGGTATCCCGGTACGTTATGTATTTTATCCAAAAAGCACACGCTATACTGAAATTTGTTAGTAAACTAAAGGAAGCCAGTTTAAACAATAAGCCTACTACAAATTTGCCGCGTTACAACCCGTAAACGTTGCCAGACAATCAAAAATATTAGAAGTGCTGCACCGATTGCATATCGAAATGGTGAGTATATCGCATTGCCGCCACATCTAATCGAACTGTTTTGCATGTCAATTATATCTTATATTTATTTGGGGTTGCTTTTAAATTGTAAAAAATAACTTAACATCACCTTAATAATAACAATTCCAGTCTAATTAAAGCTTTTCAGCGAATTCTTTAACAAAACTTATATTCGATAATGTAATTAACAGCTGTTCATTCTTATGGCTCTGTTGTCTTTCCTGTGCCTGTTTAGCAGTAGTTTAAACTGGACATTCATTATCCGGTTCTCTATCAAACTTGTCGCCGGCTAAACAACTTTCGGTTATAAATCCGTTATTTACAACATTTTGCATGAAACTGCTCCAACAAAACCCGTCTAAATTCTTTGGAAAACTGGTAAACGAATAACGGCAGTTTTTCCACAATAGTGCTTGCTGTTAATAACAGTAAAGCAAGATGTTAAGCTTTCAGATGCAAAACATATAAAGTAGAAGAAGAAGACAGGCGAACAATAGAAGACAATTAAAGAAATAAATAAAACACAGTGGAATTGTGCATGGAAGTTGAGTTCTATTTGCCACAGATGTAACGAGAAAAGCTCCCACACGTTGTTCTCGCCTTTCGCGATAGTCGCAAAACAGTTTTACATGAGCAAACTATGAAAATTGGCGTTAATTAAACTAAGAAACCTACGGCAAAAATTTTAAACGCCAAAATGTGGATACAACCCAAAGAGCTGCTGCTACCGTCGGCATTTTGGTGAGTAGAAACGCATAATAAATACACTAGCTGAGGAAGGGGTGGTACAATTTCTGGATGCTGCGCCGCCCCCACCTTGCACTTTTCCAGCAGCTGATTAATTTAAAGGCCCCCACACACACAGCTGTGTTGATGTGTGCGTGTTTTGGTGCTATTGTTGTGGTTGTTATTGTTGTTGCCTGCGCACTAAAGGCTGATAACTAATTGAGCAGAGTTCAAGTCGTCAGCTCTGCACTGATTCCATAAGCAGCTGTGGAACAATGGCGAAACGCAGGCTTCAAAATTGATTGTTCTATTCGCACAACTGTTTTTGCTGCGTAAAAACCCCCTACATGCACACACACACACACACAAACACATAGACACACACACACTCACAGACACACTCATAGCCTCACATACTTATGTACTTACTCCAGCAAAGCACACCCAAACACATACAAATGCACCGTTTCTGCTTGTTCTCAATTTGGATTTCTCGTTTTGCAGGACCGCCGAAATGTACTCCAGGTATTTTGTGCTACAAAAGCGACGCGGACATGGCGAATCGCGCGGATTTGGCTCAATGCTGGTGGGCACCTTTGACAGCGTGATGAACACAAAGCCGGCGCCCTATCGAATACTGCATCAGACGCCGTCCTCGGAAGTGTCTTATGGTAGGTTGGGGAAAAATAAAAGCACCTTTCTCGGCGACTTATCAGCGTGATGTTTATATGCCCCAGTGCGAGTGCATATCAGCGACCAAGTGGGAGGGTGCCCAATCACTGACTCATTCAATCACACATAGGCGAAATGTGTCTTTTATTGGTGTGTGTGTGTGCCAGTGGGCCATATTTACTCCTATTGTTGAGAATTTCTGGGTATTGCAAATGTTGTGCGATAAGGAAGTTAAACAAGAAGGGGAAGGAAAACGCATTGGGTATGAATCTTTTAATTGTTCGATCTCTGCGTCTTCAGTTCTCTTAGTTGCTCAATCACTCACTTAATAAAGTCGTAGTTAGGTTCTTGAAAATTGCATAAGCGAGCGAGTGGGACATAGAGTATATAAGAGAAACTTTCCTTACTTCTAAAGGGCGCCTATCTATGCGAATTTCATTTTTAGCATTTTTAGAAGGGGTACAAAGGGAGTTAGTTCAAAATCCAAGACATAAATGTTATTGAATTGGGACCTGTTGTTATGGCTAATGACGAAGCACGACAGGCCATGTGTCAGCCTAGTAGATAACTAATAATAATACCATGAGAGCATATAGTTATTTATATTTAGCTATTAAAAGTATTATGTTACTTATCTTGCGTAGAAGTTTTGCAATTTATTCATTTCCTTAAGAACCTAAAAGTCAGTCAATATCAAAATTTTTTAAAAGATAACATTTGCAGTTGGTTCTGTTTTATATAATGCAGTTTAATATATTAATGCATTGAAATGATGTCATCTTTTGGTTAAACAGAAATTGCCATTGGCATAACACAAGATGATATCGTCAAGGATTGGGAATGGCTGCAGACGAATCTCTTCAGCGTGCTCAATGAAATGGAAAACGAGGATGAAGTTACAAACTTTACCATATGCAAAATACAATCGCTCTATGCTCAAAATAATCAAGACGATTCTGGCGAATCGCCAGACTTCAAAGTGAAGTCCTCTAACTTTAGACAAATCTTCAAAATGCCCGAAGAGGAACGCCTGGTCAACTCGTACTCGGCCACGTAAGCGTATAACTGAATGCATAGAATTTCTCGAGTGTACTTCTTGACTTCTACTTGCAGCTATATTAAGAATAAAATACCGCGCCAGGGACAGTTGTACATCTCGCTGAACCATGTGTGCTTTTACTCGCTCATGCTTAGCCAGGAGATCAAGCTAATCATACGCTTCGCTGAGCTGGAGGACATTAGTCGCAGTGGCAATACAATTTATCTGAAGACTACCAACAACATGACATACAATTTTACGCTGGTGTTCAACATGAATGAGGCGCATGTCCTCATTGAGCAGCTGAACAAAATGGCCATCCAAAAGCTAATACATGACCCAGAGAGTCCTGTTGTGGACCATGATCCATCGAATTTTACACGTCTCGGCGCTAAAACTTCAAAGAAGTCGGTGCTGCTTCGTGACTTGACGGCTCGTCAAAAATCTGAGGAGTTTCGCGTTTACTTTCGACTGCCGCAAACGGAAATTATTGATGGCAAGATTAAAGCCGACATATGGACTCCGTACTCGAAGCGATTCAATGCTGGCTTCATTTATCTGTCGCCCAATTTCTTTTGCTTTCGCAGCGATGTCAAGGACTTGGTTAGCGTCGTAATACCAATGAAAACTATTAAGGTTTGTGTTGCTTATAAAATATTATAAAGTTACCGATATCTGAACCGTTTGTACACCTGTTTCATAATTTGGTATCATATGGATTCCTTAATCTTTTACAGAGTGTTGAGAAGAAGGACGATGGTCAGCAACGTTTTGACAATCAAATTGTCATCTTTACAGCGGAGAATGTGCCTTTTATGTTCGCCAAAATTGCGGATCGCGAGGTGCTCATCTCGAAAATAACAGATCTACTGTCGCGAATTCATATGTAAGTGTCCGTCCACTTGAACTGACGCTTTAACTTTTGAAACTCCATTTGCAGACCCGTTAGTCGCGAACGTGCCAAGTACGATATCTCGTGGAGCAAACAGACCGCATTGCTCAACACATTCAAGACGGAGTTCAGCGCGGACATACAAAAGAAGCAGGATTTAAAGCTGGCGCGCTGGGAAGAACATTTTCGCGATTTTGGACGCGGCATTGCTATGTATCGCACCACAGATGTGATCAATTTAATTGTGGAAGGGATACCGGACAAGCTAAGGCAGGAGATTTGGCTAATCTTCTCTGGCGCTATACACGACAAAGAAATGAATCCCGGTCTATATGAGGATTTGGTGGAGAAAGCCGCTTGCATTAAGGATTCGTATACGCACGAGGAAATCGATAGGGATTTGAAGCGATCGCTGCCCGAGCATCCGGCATTCCAATGTACAGATGGCACTGGCGCCCTGAGACGAGTGCTGCAGGCATATGCGCTGCGTAATCCGCAGGTGGGCTACTGTCAGGCCATGAACATTGTTTCATCGGTGTTTCTACTCTTTTGTGATGAGGAGAACGCCTTCTGGATGCTGGCCAGCCTCTGCGAGAATCTGTTGCCAGACTACTACAAGGACAAGGTTGTGGGTGCCCAGATTGATCAGGGCGTGCTGAATGAGCTGGTGGAGACGTATTTGTCGGATTTGCATGAGCATCTGGAACGACTTAACGTTATTAAAATGATCTCCATATCGTGGTTCCTCGCCATATTCATAAGTGTGATCAGCTACGAGAGTTCCTTGCAAATATTGGACTGTTTCTTCTACGAGGGCGCCAAGATCATTTTCATGGTCTCACTACAGATCATCGAATGGAACCGCGACAAGC